AAGCCAGTATGACGGTCATATTAATACTCAGTTCAGGGTCAAGAAGGAGCCAACAACTACTCCAGACGGAAGATTGTGCATGCCGAACGCCTAGTTTGCACAGAGGATCTGGACTGTCAGTTTGTCACAGTCTTATTCACTAACGTTTGCACATTATTTCCAGCAGATATGATGTAATTTATGCAGTAACCCACAGAAATTCAAAAATTTGGATTATCGAAGACCTTTGATTTTACCAACGTGACCTGCATACATGCCTAATTAGGCTTGGGTTCCATAATAATTCATGTTACAGCCCCTAGAAAAAAAAACTTTCCTTCGGCAAGGCCTTCAAAATCTTTCAAAAATGAAACCAAGAAATACCAATCAAAGCTTCCAGATTACACGACTCATTAGAATAACGCACAGCAGCTAGCAGAACCGGTGTAGAACTCACTGGCTTTCCATCAACCGTTTTTGGGGCAAAGTCGGGCAAATACGACTGTATGTTCTCCTCCAGTTTCAACTTGCCCTGTTCCAGGAGTCTAGCGGTAAGGAGGGAAGTGAAACATTTGCTGATACTGGCAATCCTGTACTTTGTGTCTGGGGTGGCTGGCACGTTCTGCTCAACATCGGCCAGTCCAAAACCTAAGTCAGAGGGGAGAGGGGGGACAAGGTAATAATGTGGGCGTAGGTGTCGACACACAGACAGCACTCAGCCATGCAGTTGGAGCATCAATCGATTTTCTGTCACATATCACCTGCCCTTAGTTATTTGTCTCAGGACATGGGAATGTGTTCGGACAAACCCTCAAGCGAGCGAACACTAAACTAGCAGCAAACTGCTCTCTAACGGACACTAGGTGGGACCGATGCACTACACGAGGCTGGGCTCTGGCAAAACGCATGTTATTATTATTAATGTGATATCACAGCGTTGTCGAGATCCGCCAGTCAGGTGCATAATCAACTGAGAATTCAGCCAATGACGTACTTCAGTAGAACGGATGACAGGACACAACCTTGTCAAACACTAAGTCCAAGAGAGGCGATTGAGAGATAGGGAAATGGCTGCGGGCAAGAACTCGCATATTGGTGGAACGATAATAGGCCCTGATCATGGCTATGGTCTTGCTGATTTCTATTATCCACCTCAGGGACGACCAACAACAAAGTCGAAAGAGTAGACAGCCATCGATTACCAGGTAGCTCAATTAAAAAATGCACCGCAGTTGAGTAGCTGAAGGGTGCGTCTACGTCCAGCTAGAAACCCGACTTGAATATATCTAGTCCTAGAATAATACACACTGAAATCGCCGGAGAATAACAACAGCTAAACCAGTGCAGCAATGTCGTAAAAGCTCATGACTATGAACGTGCTTATCGCTCTACGCTCGGTTAATCTCCAAATAGATCTAGGGCGCCAGTGTCGACGGAAGACTAGCATCCTGTGTAGAGGGTATACCACTAACTAGGCGAATAATTTTGTAGAGTTTTAGTGTCTCCAACGTTTCGTATCTGCATAAACGCATCAACTGCGTTTGCAGTCAATTCTAGTCAGTTTTATCATAATTCTCCAGAGCGGACGGATGAAAACATAAGCATCTTTGTTCGACCGGAAGCAGCCCTCTGGACAGACAGATACAAGTTTTTTTTTTTCACTTGATCCAGTCATTGCGGCGCCACTTGTTGAATTCAAGAAGGTTCTCAGCTGTCTTATAGACTGGTGACTTCAACAATTACCAAGCGTCACTTTGTTCTTCATTAGTATGGATCGCGAGGCGAGGTCGGATTTAGGTACTGAGGACGTTGGGTACGTTTAGTTGTGATAGTTTTGCAACCTAAAGGCACCCTGCATGTGACACTTTTGCAGTAGATGACAGGTCAAATTTAAGGGGAGTTATGTACGAAAACTTGGTTTGGCCCATACACATTA